AACCCTGAACCCTGAACCCTAATCTCTAGCTAGGGAATATGGTTTAGGGCTTAGGGCCTAATTGAGGAATATACCTCAAAACTCTGGCTCGATCAGGGCTCCTCTAAGGGATCTACAGAGGATTTTCTAGGATCTCCTATCCCTCGGCTCAGAATATACCGTGAGGTATGCTGTGATCCTTCACCTGATTTGAGGAATATTCCTTAATCTGGGTATCTTGGAAGATTTCAGCCCTAAGCAACCCGAAACCCTAAACCCCTGAACCCTAAACCCTAAACCCTAAGCAACCCGAAACCCTAAACCCCTTAACCGTAAGCCCTAAAGCTATGGCCCCATAGATCGCTGAAGCGATCCTGGCTCCGACTGGTTTAGGGTTTAAGATTTAGGATTTAGGGTTTAGGGTTTAGGAAGATTTAGGATTTAGGGTTTAGGGTTTAAGATTTAGGATTTAGGGTTTAGGGTTTAAGATTTAGGATTTAGGGTTTAGGGTTTCGGGTTTAGTGCTTGGGGTCTGGATGGTGGTCCCCGGCCTCAATCATTGCGAAAGACTGTGCCAGAAAGGAGCAACACTGCCTGACCTGTTCTGGGTGGACATTTACAGAGAGACTGTCCACCAAAGGGCCAAGGGTCTTTTCCACCATTTCCGTGTACAATCGGACTGCGCTTGTGCGCAAATCAAGCAGATGTCGTGTTCATCTTTGCGTGTCAAGGGCGTTTCAACTCGTGGCTCAGACTCCGAGGGCGACCCCACCAATCCACCAACAAGCTGAATCTCTAGACCCAAGCCCTAAACCCCTAAACCCCAAACTCTAAAGCCCAAGCCCCCCCTTAAACACCTAAACCCTAAACTCTACTGCCCAAGCCCTAAACCCTAAAGCTCAAGTCCTAAACCCCTCAACCGTAAAGCTCAAGCCCTAAACCCCTAAACCCTAAAGCTCAAGTCCTCAAGGCCTAAACCCCCAAACCCTAAACACACCTCCTTTCTTGGAGTGCTTAGGTGGACGAGGCAAGACTTCGACTCGGCCGTGGTCGCAAGGTGCCAGAATCCCAGTGTCCCAGAGTTTGGGAGTGTGCATTAAGGGTTTCGGGTTCAGTGTTTCGGGTTCAGGGTTTAGGGTTCAGGGTTTAGGGTCTCGGGTTCAGGGTTTAGGGTTTACGGTTCAGGGTTCAGGATTTCGGGTTCAGGGTTCAGGGTTTCGGTTTCGGGTTCAGGGTTTAGGGTTTAGGGTTTAGGGTTTAGGGTTTCGGGTTTAGGGTTTAGGTTTAGGGTTATGGGTTTGGGGTTTGGGGTTAAGGCTTGAGGGTTTAGGGTTCAGGGTTTCGGGTTTGGGCCCACGTTTTGCACTTCCTTAGTATGATATCCTTGCATAAGTCCTTAAGCGGGTAGGTTGGTTGGGGTTAAGGTAGGTTATTTCGGGTTAAGGTAGGGTGAGATTTAAGGGTTCTTTTCGGTGTTTCGTTGAGGGGTTCCTTTAAAGGTACCCTTCAGGATTGCTTTTAGGGCTTTCCAGTGGCCTTAGGGCTTTCCAGTGTATGGTTTGGCGTGTAGGATTTAGGGTGCTTCATGAGGCCATGCGTCTTTCATAGTTTTCCCGGGTTTTGCAATGTGGTTGTGTACAGGCTTGCTCTGGTTTTATAGATTTGAGTGTTAGGGGTCTAGGGGCTTTCGGGGCTTGGAACCCTAAACCCTAAGCCCTAAAACCCTAAACCCTAAACCTTAGATTGCCGAGAGCGCCGCTGATTATTTGCACAGGAGCCCGAGGCACCGACCGAGGCCCCCGGCCGAGCGTCTCGTCAGAACGGTGAGGGAAGGTAAAGGTTCTCGGTATAATGTAGGGGCCTCAACAATTTAGAATACGGTTTGAGGGTCTACTATACTCTATTTATAATAAGGAACCCCTAAAATAGTAGAGGTAATTATTACGGCCCCTACATTTAGAGTTTAAAGGTTCCGGTATACGAGGACTGCAGTGACTGTAGTGACGTCGCCCCGCTGTTGACCTCTCTGCCGTCAGGCAGTAAAGAAGGACCCCAAACCCCCCACCGTTGGGGCTGGTTTGTGGGGGAGCCGTGCCGACCCGACCCAACCCAAAGTAAGACCACTGGGACTATGCGAACAAGTCGGTGGTCGATCAAAGTGGCGGATGGTTGATGCACGTCGGGATTTGAAACCTAAACCTGCGGTCGCAAGCGGCCATGCGAGTTCAAGTGGTGGAGGGGCAGCAGCTGCCACAGTGCATACTCTGGTTTGGCTGCCTCGTGGGCAGGACTCCACAGCAGGATTTCAGTTTTCGGCTTCTGCCAAAGAGTTCATGCCGGACACTCAGACATGCAGGAGCGTAAACTGGAGCCACTCCTGTACTTCACGGATTCACTGCTGTGCTCAGTCCCAATCAGCTTCTGATCGAGCAGAAGATCAGAAGCGCGGTGAAAGCTGCCTACGAGCGCGCGAAGCGCCAGTGGGGCGAAGTGGCAGCACCGCCACAAGGAGTCCGTGCAACAAGACTGTCCTGTCATACAGTTGTCACAGTTGTTCAATTTTCTCTCCAGGCCACGACCACTGGGGATATCCGTGTGCAGCTTGGGGTGGATGTATGCCCATGTATTCACACCACTTGGCCAGCGCCTGGTTTTAAGGCTGCAGGCTTTGGTGTTTTCGAGATGGAGTGCATGTATGCCAATGTATTCACGCCACTTGGCCAGCGCCTGGTTTTAAG